GGAAGTGGCTGTTAGATCCTTGCCTCCTTAGAAAACAGAAACAGTTGACTCATAATCCTGTTTTTGCTGGATTCTTTGCACTTGAAGAGCCAAATTGTACAATAAGGGCTGGATGGGAACCGGGGCTATCTAGCTGCCAACCTCCTTCATGTACAGTTCCATCGCACAACCTCAAGATATTTAAAACATAAAATAACGAAGAGGTGCTGTTTTAATACAGAGTCTTCATGACTGGTACTTTTTCCTGCATTCATTACAGCACACAGTCCCTATAAATTACAACACACAGTCTCCAGTCTAACATTTAATTGCTGGAGATGTTTAAATCTTGTCAATTGAGGGGTTTGCAAATTACCAGCTTCATGCTGGTTACCTTCCTTCTCCTCCCCCGAGAAGGTGGGAAGCCAGTCATGATCAATAAATTAAAGAAAGGCTCTCTTTCCTCCTCCCTTTCAATAAAAAAAAAAGTACCTTGGTTGTTTATTACCATTATTACATTATCTGTAGCAGCCAGGCAGAGACGAGGAGTGGAGCAGGAAAAGTGACAGGATGCTCCAAAAAAGGGAAATTTAATGAAGTGGTTCCAAATATTAATAGATGAAGTGAATGATGAAAGCACACGTTCCCGGGCTCCTCTGACAATAACCATAACTAGGGCTCCCGGAAGCTGGAGAGATGGATTGGCAATGAGAAAATGCCACTCTGGCATATTGCAAGGCCGGGAATCGTTCGGCAGTGGTGAGCAGAGACATAATTTTAATTCAGTCATTCTTCAAGTCTGGGAAGAGAAGGAAATGGGGTAGGATTGCCTCGATCATCCCCACGGGCCATCAAGCTGGTAGAACGATGACATCAGCTGGTGACCATTGGTGGACTTTGGTTAGATCTGGCAAGAGAAGGAAGAATTTGGAATCACCTGGATGCCAGACCTGGGAATGGATTTCCAAGGCTCCAAGGTGGATTCCCAAGGGGTGGTACAGCCCAGAGGGCATCTATGAAACTTTGGACTTTTTAAAAAACAGCCAAACGTTTGCCAATTTGTCCAATCTCCCCAGGTTTCCACACACACCCCCTTCAAATTCTTGGGAGAGTTTTACCCTTCTCGTGTGAGATGGGGTAAAATCTTAGGTGAACTTGCCAAACTTTCCCCTGATTTAGGGATCTTGGGAGACTTCTGCCATCTGAATTTTCATTTTCAAAAGGATTTGGTGCCCACAAGACAATAGGCTGCCTACGACGGGATTCGGAGGGGTAAATAATTTGGTTTTGCAGAGTTCCCTGGCTGCGAAATTTTACCTAATCCCACTCGACTTTACTAACAGATCTCCTGTGCCCCTTCCTCTCTGGTGCCTTTCTGAAAAGGGACTTTTCAACAAGCATTAAGAAAATTAAACTCCTCAAGAGCCGCTGAAATCCAGCAAGCTATTTTGAGTTCAAAGTGTGTTAAGTGAAAATATTGGCGGTGATCGAGTGCAGGAAGGGAGAAGAAGGATGAAAAGCTCTCCCAGGGCAAGGAAGAACACAACAAACCGGGGGGAGGATTAAAACCAGAAATGAGACATGATAAATCCCTTCCTTTTGGACTTTACAAGACTGAGGTTTAATCTTTCTCCCCTTCAGCCCTGACTCAAGCTGGGAGAACCGTCCCACACCATGATCGGTAACTCATTTTAGAGATAATCAATGCTGCGTTTTTGTATTGCACAAAAGGAGATGGGCCTTTGCGTTAAATTTGGAGAGAAGGCCAAGGACCACTCAGAGCTAGGAATATTTTGTTCCCGCAAGAAGTCCACAACAGTCTTCTGAAGCCTGCAAGCCAACTGAGAAGATATGTTCCAAAGATAGATGGGGAATAAACCAAAAGGAAGAAGAAAAAAAAACCCAGACAGAATGCAAAAATGGGATCGGAAAACAGCCGCCTCTGCCTTTCCTTTCTTTGCATGATAACACCGTCCCCAACATCTGCCCCTGTTAAAAAAAAAAAGCAAAACCCATCTAACTGTCAATTCCCAAAGAAGGCAAATGCATTTTCACCACTGTAATGATCAACGTTTCTTTTACGTTCTCACTGGTGCTTTTATTCTGCCAAAGCCGCGGTTTTCTGACAAATCTGAGAAGCAGGCCAACGTTTCCTCTGTTGTTTCAAATGCCTCTCCTTCTGAAATAAATGGCGGCTTTCGGCTGGCTGCTTCTGCCCATTTGCAGAGCTAGAGCTGGAGAAAAGGGTTGGGCTTCTACCTCCGTTCAGTTCATTACAACACCTCTTCATTCAAGCCCCTGAACATTGTTCTCCAACATTGGATTGTCTAATCCTGTTGCTGCGAATTGTTATCATCAGGAGAGCTGCAGAACAACAAACTGACTCTCCCTGACCTAAACCAAAATACACTGGAGGAGGGGGACCAGCTGCATTAAAATGTCCTTTCTCAAACCATCTTTTATCTCTCCTATTCTCCCAATGTTGGAATAAACCATGGTTCCATGAGAACTTTTCAGCCAGGTCACCACCCTCTTCTGCCTTCTGAACCATATCCAGAGTCCCATCAAAACACACTTTGTGCTGGGAGAGCTTCCAACCACAAAGCACTCTTAAAAACCTTTTATTGGTCAGGAACAATACCAGGAAGGAAAACATCACACTGATTTATTGCTTCGGTTACTGGGGAAGAAACATCTTCCCCATGGACCAAATCACTCATCTGGCTTTTGGACCACGCGTTCACCAATTACACTGAAGCCAAGGCCTGTTGTTGGGTTGGGAGAAAAGAAGAAGGCTTGGGGGTGGTCTTGAGTTATTTTTGTTTTTTAGGTTCCTGTTTGTTGCCCAGAGTCATTATGGAGTAGGAAACCATGTAAATTCAAATAAACAAATAGGAAGTCAATGCCTGCCCACAAAAAAGTTGCCCATTTTTGCAAAGGACAGGTTTCCCCAAGCTTACACCAACCAAGATCTTTTTTGCGGTCTTGAATTTCCTGGAACTGGGGTTGAGTCTCAGCCTGGCCCAAGTGGTAGAGCTAGAAGCATTGGTGGTCACTGAATTATTCTACTGTTCATCTGAAGTTTGTTCCATCCTCTGCCACACACACACACACACACACACACACACACACACACACAAACTGAAGTCCACTTACAGCTTACAGCCACCGCTTGGATGTTCATCTATTTCTCAGCCTTGCTTCATTTCTGTTTCATCCATTACCTAAACGAAGTGTGAAAGTACTTTCTGCACTTACTTACCCCGGCACTGTGAGTGTGCAAAGTCCATTCATCTTCATCATTAGCTAGCTGGGAAAAAAATAACTCTGTTCCCCAAATGAATCTGTTGCTTGCCTCGAGTTCGTTTTCCAGATCAATGCAGATTATGATTAACTAGCAGTTTTCCCCTTTTGGTGACTAATCTCCAAACGAAAAGGCAGGCTGCTGATCAACTGAAAGCATTAGGACATTCTCTAGGAACTGTGTTTCTAAAGCATTTGCTGTGGTCCACACCCTGCTTTAGAGAGCCCATTTGGTGTAGTGGTTAAGGCATCAGGCATGAAGCCAGCTGGTTGACCTTGGGCCAGTCACCACCTCTCAGCCCTAGGAAGGAGGCAATGGCAAACCACCTCTGAAAAACCTTGCCAAGAAACCTGCAGGGACCTATCCAGGCAGTGTCCGAGAATTGGACACAATTAGATAACAAAAAAACCCCACCCTGCTTTAGGCTCTGTTCATACGTGTCCATCCTTCCCTTCCCTGATGGTTAAAAACCACTGTACATATGTGAGATATGAGACAAAAAAAAAACAACAGATATCTGGGAAGTCCAACATTTTTTATGAAGCAATGGAGAATCAGACTTCTCCTATTCTGGAATGTCCACAAGGCTGAAAGCTAATCGTGATCATTTCTACTTTGAGTAGAAGGACCTATCAAACCACAGTTAGCATCTGTGATTCCAAATAAAAGCTCATTACAGAGAAGTCCACAGATCCATGGCTTTGGGTCAAGCCTGCTCTTGTCCCAGAGATATGGGTGGCTAGGTCCACCAGTAGTCACCCCCCATAGCAGAATGGGGGATGTTTCAGAAATGGGAGGATGGTAGGAGAAGAGAGAGAGAGAAATGCTTGAGAAAGCTCAATCAACTTCTCCTTCCTTGCTCATCAAAGAAGTCCATTAGGAACCATCATAGATGACCCTGAACAGATCCAAAGGAATCCTGGGAATTAAAAAGCAAGGAAATACATGTATTAACCTGAAAAAGTCAAGCAGATATGTTGCAGGGAGCACTGTAAAATCAGATCTTTTCCCACTTTGTTTTTTTTTACGCATTTTCATCTTTGGTCCTGATCCAAATGATTTACTTACAAACCAATCTTTGATTTCAGCAAGCCTTTCCATGGGACATAGACGCTTTGGGTCTGACTGGAACCAGAACAAGACAAGTCCAAGAGAGCGATGTGAGCTCTCCAATTTTGGGCCTCTAAAAAATTCTGGGTTGCAAAAGCTGTTGCAATTCTAAAAAAAAGAAGAAGAATTCTGAAGCACAGCCTGAAAGTGACAAATGGCCACAGAATTTTATTTAATTAAAAAGGGGAGGGCTTTTGTGTTCCTCTTCATGAAGGCTCGCGTTGGAATCTTTCATGCTACATCATAGATCACTTAGTAAATCATCCTTGCAAAAAGAATTAAATAAATAGATAAATAAATTCCATATTCTTTGGCACTAATTCTATGGAGAATTAGAGAAATTAGAGAAACCCAAGTAAGTCCAAATTGTGGTTTTGGTTCTGTTGGTCCTTTCAATGAATGTTTTTGCTCAGGTGTTCTCCTACATCTCACGTGGATTGACACACGGCCTTCAGCTTTTCCATTTATCCCTCCCACCCCTCGAACATGAGATCTAGAGGACAGTCCTGAAATACTGTATTGATTTGGGAGGATCAGCTCAAAGAATGAGGTCTTAATTGACTTCTCCTTACTTAAATTTTTATTTTCCCTTATAGGTTGGCTTGCATCAGACACCTCTCTACAAGACCCATTGAATATCGATCATATTTGTTATCTGGGACTTTGACTACATTCTGGATGTTCTCCACCGAAACCCAATGAACCCCATTTAGATTGTTCACCAAGTTGTATTTTTTTTGTCTACGCTCCTTGTTTTTGACCAATATCTCAAATTAAAGGCAGAAAGGTGAGTTTTTTAAAAAAAGGAGATAAGAAAGAAAACAAAATCTTTTTCTGATGTATTATTACACATTTTCATGTAGCTGTTCCATGTAGTTCCTTAGTTCTTTACATTCCCCCAGGTCCATGTCTTGACAAACCCATTTGATATCGTCCTCACTGCTTGTCAAAATGGAGTTGACGGTAGGGTACCCACCGTCTGAAGAGATGGTGGTGAAGGTGGTAAATTTGACACGTTTCCGTTTGGAGGTTGGTGAGGTGGCCTGTTCATTCTTCTGCTCCTTCCCTTCGGGAAAGGTGGCAGAGTCTGTGGATAGGAAGACTTGGTCATTGAGGTTCTTCTGAGTGTTGGCACTAAGGAGATATTTGCTTTCTTCTAAATCCACACTTCGGTCAATGGCTGTAATGCATTCCTCCTGTTGGGTAGAAAAATTGAGGTGATTCTCCAGCAGCTCAGTTCTATTACTCAGTCCTACCCAGTCATGAGAATGCCTCAGACCTTCTTGCTCTTCAAATGGAGCCTGCTTATGCCTGTATTTCAAGGCAAAGGTGACACAGTTAATAAGGAACACCAAAATGGCCAAACAGAAGACCCCTAACAAAGCATACATCCCAATTTCCAAGTCACTTAAGCCCCTGGGTGTCTCATCAGGATCATTCTCTTCCAAATCTCCATTGCTCTTGGGCAGGTCTACCTGAGATGGAAAACTGGTAAAGTCTATCGGGAGACTTTGCATATGGCTGTCATCATCTAGGAGGCTCTCCCGGTCTTCTTTCTTACTCAGAATGGACTTCTGAGTGCTAGTTGCTCTTGTTTCCTCTTGTCCCATCGAGGAGCTGTAGTAAGGTCCCTCTTGCCGAGATCTTTCCTGCAGGCTTGTCTTCTGACGCCGATCGCTGGTCCGGTTCTCCAGATGTACACCACTTCCACCACGCTTGCTGTCACTCGTGTTGGGGATGGTGTCATTCTGACCAAACTTGACCTTGATGTTTCCAGTGCCCACTGCCAAAACACTTTTCCTTTTTGATTTCTGGCATGATTCGCTGATCACCAGCTCCACCTTCACCAACAGACCCTGGCCTTCTGACTCAGCCACAATGAAAGGCCATTTAAACTTGGGACTCTGCTGGACAGAGACCACCTTCTCATCCAGAGATGTGGCCACCAAAGAAAAGTCCTTGGCATCATAAATGTCTAAGGGCATCACTGCTCCATCACTGAACTGGATCCAGCAACTGATCACAGCTTCCTATTTGGGGGGAAAGAAAGAGAAAATGATACTGGGACAAATACCAAAAAAAAAAAAAAAGTTTTCTTTATACAATCAGGATGTAGAAGTTTGAAATAGCTGAGATGCCACGTAAGTTATCCTTCAGCACTTCTATTTCACTTCCCTGTTGGCAATATTAAGGGCCCCTCTGGGACTGAGTTAGGAGCTGCACCTCCAGAGCTCCTTAAAGTCATAGTGCTCTGGATCAGTTTCCCCTTCTTACCTTTCCATTTTTCTTTTCCAATTGTCCCTGCACATTCTGTAGCAACTGAGCTAAATTTTCGTGTTCTTTTTTTTTTTTTTTTTTTGATAAATGCAGACAAGGAGCTGAATGAACTTAAAGCTGGAAAGATGAGAAAAAGAGCTTGAGATGGAAAGGAATTGAGAAGGAGCCTAAGCCACTTCTACTCTGTATTGACGCTGGACAATCGGGTTCATCTGGGATGTTCAGAAGCTTGTATCACTCCAAAAGCAAAAGCAGCCCCATTCCAACTGTTGCCCCCACCTGCTGGTGCTAAGACATGTAGTCTTGTATTCTGATCATCTACCACCCCATCAACTCCATAGTCTCTTTCCAAACCCTTCTAAATGGATGGCCGTGATCATCTCTTATGAGAGCAGGTTCAGTCATGGAGCTCTGTGTATAGTTCTTGGATCTCCTGATGCTGAGCTTTAGCAGATGACCTCAAGATTGAAAACCACACGAGAGGGAGAGTAACTTTGCTCTATCCATCTTTCTCACCCCCAGCACCGTTCTATCCTCCTTTCCCAAACTTCCAAGCAGACAAAATCTCATTTAGATGGTTTCCTTTCTGAAGGACCACCAAGGTTAAGATGATGGAACTTGCTGAGAGGGCTAAATTGACTTCTTTGATCAGAGAAAAGACAATATCTACGTTTATTGCTGACTGGGAACCCTTTATAGACTTTTTGCGTGAAACAGAAAAAGATGAACTCGTGATTTATGGTTTTGACGATTAGACAGGATAGATTATAGAAAGAAGAGTTATGTTGTAACCCTAGAGTAAGAGGTAAATTTATAATTGTACTTCTAATTGCTGTAAAGAAGATCAGAAGCTATTTCTTTGTATCTTTTTTTCTTTTTCTTTTACTTTTTTCTCCTTTCTTGCACTTTTTGCTTTCTCTTTGCTTTCTTTTTCGTTTCTTTTTCTTACTTTATATTAGTTCGTATTAGTTTTTATCTTCCCTTAAAAAAATCAGATAGATAGATAGATAGATAGATAGATAGATAGATAGATAGATAGATAGATAGGAATGAGAAGGACCACCAAGGTTCTGGAAGGGCTGGATTTGGGGCACAACCAGAGTCCAGAGAATCCTCTCCCCTTTCTCACCCCACTGGCTGATAGAGAAATGAAATCCCAACTTGTTTCTGTCCTGTGTCCCCCCCTCCGCCCTCCACCTCCCAGCCAGCTGCTCTGGTGATGGATCAAGAAAACTCTATTTTTGGCCTCAAGCCATTTCTGGGAAAGACATTTAATTCGCTGCTCAGCCACTTTTTAAGAGCTAGTTTTAAATAGCCTAATCATAAGACCTGCAGAGAGAAAGAGTCATGTTTTTCCTTTCTTTCCCCCAAGTTTTGGAGGCCTGATGGAAAGTCTAATAGCGGGTCAAATTACGTTTGAAATGATGGGCATCCTTTACGCCCTCTTGGTGTTTGGTGTGGGGAGCAACCCAGATTATGTTATATCTAAAAGGACACTGAAGATGCAATTGTCAAGTGCAAGGCCTGGCTTAAAGGGGTCCTTGCATAGGGAGCAGGCAGAATAATGACATCATTCTGCAGGAGACAGGCACCAGAAGTCAAACTGTGCATTGTTTAAAACCGGTCCCCTGTCTTACACATGTCCTGCCCGTAGATAGGTAGACTAATTGGCAAATGGGCTGTGACCACTCTCCCTGTGCTGCTAGATTTCTGCTAACAAGAAATCTCCTGGGAGCATCTACAGAAAAGCAGGAGGGACAAGAAAGGGGGTTCTACCTGGTTCACAGTCCTGGGCAGATTCTGGATAATCCCAACCAGCATTGGTGCCAGTGGATATTAGCTATAGAAGACCTCCCTCTGAACTAGGAATGGGTGAGGGCCTATCTATCTCTCCCAACCTTTACATCAAACCCCACAACAGCCATTCACATAGAGAATGGATCGTGTGCCAGTTCTCCCAGCTGCCCTGCCATTGCCCTTAAAAGATCAAACCCAATTTCTCCAAGAGCAGAACTTGCCGGGACCACAGCTATGGAAGACAGTAATTTCAAAGCAGTAAACATAGGCTAATCAAGGAACTACCAAAGGAGCAAAACAAAACCCCCACCCCCACCAGCACTGGCAAGGCATGCCACAATATATAAATAGAGAGCAAACCCCATCCCATTTTAGCACTGAAGATGTTACCAAGCTGGGTAATGAAACGTTTGCAAGAAAAGAACCAAGCTCAGAGAACCCCAAGGACTCCACAGTTCAACCCTGAGCTACACATCTTCACCTCTATTGATTTCAAGGTCATCCAGTTGGCAAAGGATTAGCTATCTGTCTCAGCTTTCTGACTCTCTCAGGATGTTGGGTCTTTTGGTTATCTTACCCTCCCCTCCCTGCCCACGTAACAAGAGGGATTCCAAATCAAAAAGTAGGACTTTTCTTGCTGGGAGACATTTCACCAAAGACCCTTAGACCCTTTGATTTTCCTAATTAAGAGTTTTCAAGAACGAGTTGTTAGCAACTAGCAGACTTTGAGTCAAACTCAGCCCCAAGGCCTTGGCCCACTTCGGAGGGAACCTGCTGAGCACGGGGCGGGGGGAGCTGCTATTTCCAGAATTCTCAGCCAGCAAAACTCAGAATGATGAACGGTGAAAACAACAGTTGGAGAAGAACCATGCAACCTGTTTCCTCAAAGAAGAACAAATACGTTGAGTGTAGACGTCTTCTTTTGAACCGTCCAACTCTGCAAAGTGAATTTGCTGGCAGAGATGCCTGCAGGGAGGGAGGAAGCGAAGGCAAAGGGCAGAAGGGGCATTGCACCACGGTGAGGCAAGCGGGCCTCTTTTGTAGGTGCATCATGACGTAGCATGAACATAGAAAATAGCATGACATAGCGTTTGTGTTGGGTAGCTGGAACGTTGTTTATGTCATGTTAACCAGAGCCTCTAATCCTGCAGAGGCTTCTGTTGGCAGCTGTTAAATTCTGGGCAAATTTATCCCGTAAGTGCCATTCTGTTAAGTGGTACAGATCCACATGCCCCCAGATCTGTTCAGAGCCAGTGAAGTGAAGTTCAGCCTTAGAGGGCAACTCACTCAACAATCCTGTAGAGGAAATTCATGAACAGTCTCCAAGGGCAGCCCCATAGATGATTTCCTGCAGGAATCTAACTGGGTCTGTCACCTTTCAAGGGCTAAGAAAGCCAAGCTAAGTCAGGGCAATTTCCCTGCATTCACAAGGAGATTGAAACCAGGATGAAAATAAAGACCCTGGCCGTGAAACTTCATGATCAAAGGGAGAAAAAATGTAATTCTTTTTCTTTTCATTTCTCAGCTGTTTGTTGAGGGACATAAGGAGGCAAGCACACCTCCCCAATTTTTTTTTAAAAAAGAAATATATATATTTTGGCAGGTGAGGAGTGTGATGCTGTATTATTTATGAGAGGTTACCAGAAGAAAATATATATATATATATATTCATTCTTTTTTTCTCCCCAGGGCTTGCTCTAGTTTTACTGCCCTATTTACTGGAATTGTGCTTCTCTATTTAGGTGTTTGGTGGCCTTCGGGGATGAGAGCCTATAAATCTAAAATGTCCTTTTAGAATAATATTAACAATCACACAAGAACACCAGCTCTGGTTCACCAGCTTGGCTGGCAGGAGATTGCAGGAAAAGTAGATCTTGAAAATGGTGGTCCATTGCCAAGGAACTAGGGAAGGGAAGGGAAGGGAAGGGAAGGGAGGGAGGAAGGGAGGGAGGGAGGGAGGAAGGAAGGAGAAAAAGAGGGGAAGGGAAGGGAAGGGAGGAAGGGAGGAAGGGAGGAAGGGAGGAAAGAAGGGAGGGAGGGAGGAAGAGAGGAAGGAAGGAGAAAAAGAGAAGAAGGAAGGGAAGGGAAGGGAAGGGAAGGGAAGGGAAGGGAAGGGAAGGGAAGGGAAGG